AGGTGGGGGTGGGGAAGATACAGTTCCCGGGCTGCCCTGAAGCGACGGGCTCTCTCGAGTGTGTTGCTGATGGCAATATGGCCGCCACACTTGGTGCCGGAAGCGATGGTCGCCATATGCATTTTATGCCTCAAGTTGATTAGGCCCGCTCCTGTTTGCTCTCTGCAAATACTGCCTGAATGGAAAATTAGGAGAGCCACGTGCATTTGCTTCATATTGTCCAGGATGGAAAACCCTGGCCCTTTGTGCCAGAAGGAAAATATCTGAGAGGCTATTGGTCTAAGTTTGTTTTTTTAATGTTTATTTACTTTTGAGAGAGAGAGAGAGCGCACACAAGTGGGGGAGGGACAGAGAGAGAGAGAGGGAGACACAAAATCCGAAGCACACTCCAGGCTCTGAGCTGTCAGCACAGAGCCCAACACGGGGCTTGACTCACAAACCGTGAGATCACGACCTGAGTGGAAGTCAGACACTTAACCGACTGAGCCCCCTGGGCGCCCCAATGGGGTCTGAGCTTTCAATGTCACGGAGAGAGAATGCGCCAGAGCAGCATCAACGCTGATGGACCAAAATGGTGAGGAAAATGGGGTAAAAATGGGAAATAAATTAGGATGTCTGAGAGGCAAGCCATCACTAACACCAGAGAAGGATTAAACCCCAAACACTACTTATGAGTTTTATGTGTAAGTTTGCAATTCATATTAGTCCCACAGAGAAGCTACATTAAGAATAGTGGATTAAATAAATAAATAAAGAATAATGGCAGACTGTGGCGATTGTCATTTGTCACCCATAGTGCTCCACGTTTCCACTCGGTGGCAACAAAACCGGTGATCTAAATATTAGCAAGTGGAACACACGATAAACACTTAGTTATATATTATTATCCCTGTAAAGTCATTACAACAGAAATAAAAACTGTTTTTTATTTTAACTATTAATATTCATCAAATGTTAATGAAAATACCTAACAAATAATTATGAAAAACACATGGCTTAAGTAATAAAGATGAAAGAGATGATAATCGTTGTGAATATTTAATCCGCAAAATAAAGAACATACCATTAATAAGACTTAATTATGTCATTAAATATTTAACTTTACTTTCGCTCCTAAATTTTGTTTGCGCTTGGCATATTTCAAATGCAGAAAGCTTTTCAATAAGATTTGTGGTTTCAGCAACATCAAATGCCAGCACATCTAAGTTTGACTTACTGTCTTCATCAAATTGGTCAAACATCATTTTATTTATCATTAAGTGAAATGAACGACGCTCTTGGCGTTTACTACAAGTTATGCTTTAAACAAAAGAGGGGTTTAAGAATTGATTCTAGGTTAGAGCCACAAAAACGGTGTTTTCTAGTGGTGAGGAAAAATAATTGCTTTTCTTTTAGTTTTTGTTTGTTTGTTTGTTTTTGGTTTTGGTTTTTTTTTTTTTTTGTTTTTTGGAGTATCACACTACTTTGTGCATCCCCTACCGTTTGCATAGAAAACTGCAGATCTGATTCTCCCTTGGCTTGCTAGAGAATGGATCCTACAGCAGCCACCAATAGACCCACCCATGTCCTCGGAATTGGTCCCTTATAACTCCTGTTTCCCGAAACACGCTTACAAGTAACAGAGAGTAAGTTAGGTTCCTGGTGCCGCTGAAGGCACTGGGAACTCCCGCCCTCCCCCTGGCACGAAGTGACAGCCTCCTCTCCGTCGCCCAGTGCAGGGCTTGGCCGTATCGCTCAGTGGGCACAGCCAGACCACGCGCACAGCATAGGGACACAGCTGGCCCTGCTCGTCACGGCCAACTACGCGCATCTCTTCACATTCTGTGTTCAGCGGCATCACACTGGTGGCTGGAAATCAGCCGTGAAACGTTTACACCAAAGAAATGGGCAAATGCTACTCTGGGCTCCACCGGGCCCCCCCCCCCCCACCCTAGAGGACCCGTTAAATGCTTACTAGCGCATCCCTGCGCGCACATGCAGGGATCTGGACGTGATGCCCGGCCGTCTCCTCCTGTGCCCTTTCCCTATCCGGGCCTCTGATGACCCGAAGCTCAAACACTCTGTGGTCGCCAGCAGGGCAGGGCACCAGGCACCCACCTCAGGCAGCTCTCACTGTGCGGTGTGGCCGCTCGGTCTTTCTCCCCTGGCCTCTGAGTCTCCTGACCAACTTTTCTTCCCGGTCAGGCAGCTGAGGCAGGGGCGTAAACGGCCTTGGCCGGCTTTTCCTTCGCTGACTAGAACATAAAGAGCTCTTTGTTGGGAGAGGAAGCCCAATCCTTTCATGGAAGTCTCTAGCTATGTTTGCTGCTCAGTCAGTACCTCAAGTTGGGCCCTGAGGGCCAAGCAGGAAGCTGGACGAGAGGCAAGGGACCCACTGTCCCAGTTGGCCCAGGACTGAGGGCCTTACTGTACTAAAACTAAGGGTGGTTCCAGACGACCCTAGCTCGTTGGTCACCCTCAGGGCGTCTCCCATCATTTCTCTCTCTCTCTGAGGCTGGACGCTGGGTGACATCAGGAGGCCCAGATCTTTGGAAAGGCCTCTTCCTCCTCTGATGGCTGCCAGCAAGAACAGGAGAAAGCAGGGAAGAAACCAGAATTCCTGAGGGGAGAGGCAGTGTTTCCATCCCGGGGCATAAATGAAGGTCGTGGGCTCAATCCGTCACCCATTAAGGACCCCAGTTACCTAACCTCCAGGGTGTGAGCCCCAGGTGCTGGGAGAGGCCTGCAGGGAGGCTGGTCTGGCCTCCCGCCTCCTGACTGTCAGGCCTGTGCAGGCCCATTGATATTCCAGGGCGGTCGGCAGCCTCAGAGTTTCCCAGCCCCCACAGACATGCTCTTCTGACTTTTCTTTCCAACTTGGCTGTCGGTACCTGACTGGCACACCGGTCCGGCCCTTGGGGGCAGCAGCCTGGCACGTCGGCCTGTCGATACTAGACAAACAGGCCCATCCTGACCCCCGCGGCGGCCTTCAGGGACATGCTGGCCCTTTCCAGAGGAAACACTGCTGTCTGGGCAGAACTTCCAACTTTGAAAGAATGAACGGTGACCAGAATAATAATGGGGCGAGTTGCCCGGACTCCTCGTGCTCAAACTTGTCTTAGAGTCGAGCCGTTTTTGATCGTCTCCCCGTTTTTCCCATCTCTGCAGTGAGGTGGGCAGCCAGGCGGGCCCCAGGGCTGGGGGTGGTGTTGGGTGGTTCCCCTTACTCCTGAGGGGCTCTGTCCACATAGGGGGTGCTCGTGCACAGGCTGGAGTCTGTCTTGTTAGCCAGCAAGAGGCTGATTAACTGTCCCTAGAGATTCAGAGGCTGGGACGGGTGACTTTAGTCACCGAGTAAGGCCCGGCCACTCATCGGTTTGCCTCCCTCCACCTGCCTGCCATTTGCCAACCCTCTAAGGGTCTGCTCAGGGACCACCCCTACGAAGTCTCAGCAGCTCAGTCACAGGCTCCCTCTCCAGGCTCACCTGGCACTCAGTGCTTAAGTCTTTCATGGCCCTTGCTCATATCAACACTATTTTTTGTCCTCCTTGAGGACTTCTGGGCGGAAGGGAGCTTTTCGTATCATCGCTGCATCGATAACAGCGCCTTATACTCAGTAAATGCTCAATAAATGCCCACCGAGGGTTTTGGATGCTTGCAGGACTCCCTTTGAATCACGGCTCAAGGGATCACCTCTTCCGGGAAGCTTTTTTGGGTTAATCAAAGGTACCTTCACCTTTAAGCATGATCCCGACCCTCCCTTATGTTGGGAAGTAGTGAATATGGTGTAATTAGTCCTGATAGCTAATGTGAGTTGAGCACTCACATCATGCCAGGCGCTGTGGGAAGCACTTCACGTGCCTTTCTGTCCTTAAGTGACAACACCCCATTGAATTAAGTTCCGCTAACATGGTCCCCATTATCCAGATGATAAAGCGGAGGCACCGAGAGGTTAAGAAACTTACGTAAGTTGACTTATCTGGGAAGTGCTGAGGTCAGGATCGAACCCATCTCGTCTGGCTTTCGACTGGCTCGCTCACGATGTCCTACTCTCTCTGAGTTTTATATTTGGTTGCAAAGTGAATGAATGGTTGAAATCCCCAGGGTGGCATTTCTGTGATGAAATGTGCCTGCACAGTCCAACCGGCAGCCCCTTTTCCCGTGGGGCCGCTGAGCCCCTGAAATGTGGCGAGAGTGTGCCCAAGAAAATAAAACGTTTACGTTTTAACTAATGTCAGTTTCAATAGCCTCATGTGACTAGTTGCTACTGTATTGGACAGCACAGCACGGAAGCTGAAGGATGTATTTTGACTATCTTTCCTAAGTCTCTTACCGTGTAGTCCACGGCCATCCAAGAAGAACTTGGAATGGCTAGTCTTCGTGTCTTTCAGTGCTGGGAAAACACCCAGCTATTACTTGCGCTGAATTCGTGGAATAAATCGATGTCCATCCTTACAGTGTTTTTTTTCTACCTCCAGTGGTTTCCCGCACGCGAAGACATGCACAGTTCTAGTTTCTTCATTCACAGAGGCCTGGAGAAGAGTAGACGGTCCAGGGCGGACTGGTAAACTAGCGCTGAGACCAGGGACAGGAAGTGAGCTACCCTAACAACACCTACTACGCGCTGGGTCTTGCGTTGGGCATTATCTTATTTACTCCGAAAAGCGATTGGGCGGCCTCACTAATTCCCATTGTATGGTTGGGGAAAACTCAGAAAGTCACACTCAGGAAGTGACAGAGACGTGGCTTGAGCTGAGTCTGTGTGATTTCACTGGCCCGTCAACTTTCATCTTAATCACAGAATGCTCACTGTTCAATGGCCAAGAGGAATATTCGAGACTGACCACCTGTTCGAAGTGTGTGTGTGTGTGTGTGTTTATTGTTCCAATGGTGATACAAGGCAATTGGTTAGAATTTAGCGTCCTAGCAAAATGGACCTCTTTTGTATTCTTACCTCTCTGTATTCCTCATAGGATAGAAAATTCTAGAGCTGCAATGTCCAATACAGTAGGCAGTAAGAAAACGCTTTCGTGCCACTAACACCGGCCCCGAAAGGAAGCAAAGTTGGGAGGCTCAGTCGCGGCGTGGGCCCGTGCAGCCCTCCTGGCCCCCCGCGGGCCGCGCTCGGGGCTCCCTCATGCTCGTGCCCTTAAACTGCGCCATCATTTCTTCTCTTGAGCAAAGTGCTTCGTCATTCCTCTCTGGGAGGCAGGTAGGTGATGAAACCACGGCACAGAGAAATGACCTGATCTCTCCAAGGTCGTTATGGAAGGCCGTGGCCAAACCCCACGGAGCAGAGTTTACCGGCCCGAAATGCTTTTCCGGTGGGTGATCTTAACCGCAGGGGAGCAGGTTCAATGCCCCGGCGTACGGGGGTGGAGGAAGGGATCACAGTGTCTGCGAGTGCCTGACCCCACCCGTCCCGCGTAGTATTCACCGCTCCCTGGGCTCAATAACTTCCATTCTCCTAACAGAGATGGAAAGTGCCGTCGTATCCCTCTTTGATGATTTAAAAGTGTTGTGTGCCTTTTCCTCTTTCCTCTTTCTCTCCAGCCCTCGCCCTTCCCGTGCCGCTTTTCACGTTTCCATAGTAACCACCTCTATTGTATCCGTGACCGTGAAGAGAAATCTTGCAGATGTTAGTAGAGATCCAACACCTTCCAGCAGCTATTTTGATTCACAGTCTCCTTATCTCTCGGCGCTGATTTTCTGGTCCTTTCTTCTCCTTACAGCTGCTCGCTTTCCCCCAAGTACCTGCAAGCCCTTCAGCGTGGCTCCCTCTGTCCTGCACGAGCCTGGGTGAGCTCGGGGGCAGGCCAGCGTCTCTGGGGCTCAGTAGAAACCTTAATTCTTCAGGTGGCTCTGACACAACAACGCGGAAGCTCCAGGGGGGTGGAATCGAAGGCCGGAGGGCAGTGGGGTAGGATCTCCAGACGCCCTTAGGGGAGCCCCCTTACCTGAAGGCCCACAGAACGCAGGGAGGGCCTTCCTCGGCCATCCTTCCCACCTACCACATCCTGCTCTCTTTCCAGCTCCCGCTCGCCTCCACCCCAGCCTCGTGGAAAGCTCGGGACCACACCCGTGCCTTGGAACGTCTTCATTCTGTGCATTGCCCGCAGAGGGATCAGCCACCTTTCCTTGCTGGTTCAGAGGACAGGGCAGACATGGGAACACGCACACGCTCTCATCAGGGCTTTGAAGACCCTCGACACCTGAATCCCCCACCTCCCCTCTCGGGGCCAGGCTCAGCTGGCCACCTGGAAAGGCCATCAGAATGGGGCTTTACCGTTCCCCTCCCGAAACTGCTTGAAGAGTTCATAGCCTACAATCCCTCCTTGGAACCGGGCATTATTCTCTTGATTACACAAGCCTGACAGCCTGATCATAATAAACATGTAACTGAAGAGAACCTATTCCTTTCCAGCGGCATTATTTATTCACCTAAAGCAAAGGCTGAGCTATATTTAGCATATGATGTCAGTGGGTTGTTTGGATTCTTGGAAATTGGCAGGAAGCCACCTCTCACATGATATATGAAATCACTGATAAATGCTTCTTTTCACCAAAAGAAAAACAGCTTAATAAATGCGGTCCTTTTCTGTTTTTATCTTCCCCCTCCCTCCCTCCCCTCCACCGTCCTCCCTCCCCGCCGGCCCCTCCCCCTCCCCCGCCTCCCGCCCCTTCCACGTCTGGGATTTGTCTTTCCGTGGCACAGCTCAGCAGAGCCTGTGAAGTGGAAATGAGTTGCTCAGTATCACAGATCAAAATGAGGCTGTTGGGATGCTCGGGATGGTTTTTTCCTCTCCTAGAGCCTGGAAGGCGGCCAAAGCGCGAGTGAATCAGACACACACGCACAAAAAGGCAAATCTATACAGCAGTGGCTTTATGGGGCCCAGTATTTATGGTGCAGCACTCGCTCTGGGTTGCTATTTTGCAGGCGAAGATGGGAAATAGATAGTGATTCAGGATTGCCATTAAGTGTGGAAACAGCCCCTGTACAGATTGTGTGTAATAAACCAAGTACGGAGAGAAGCCGTAAGAAGCCCAGGATTTGCCACACTGGATCAGCCTTGAGGCCCATCAAGTTCAAGCTCCTGATTTGTGTGCTGGCTAATACCTGGTGCTTGGAACAAATCTTGCTGCCTTCCCTCTGTCTTCCCCGCCATGCGCTGGGTCCATTATACAAGGCTGTCGGAGGGCTTGGGCGGGCCTGTGTGTTTGGAGTTAAATTAATTCTTGCCCTCCTGTGGAGATCAGTTTATATGGCCCGAAGCGGAAGATTTAATTGCCCTTCTCTTAGCTCCTGTAAAAAGCAGCGTCATTACTGATCTCGTGGATTCACCCAGGCCCTTTCATAAGCAGCTGTCGCGTTTAACTCAGTGACCCCCAGCAGGGGCCTGGCGGGTAGTTTTCCTGGCCATGGGGAATGGGGAAGGCACGGCCCCCAATGACGGTGGTTCATTTACGTTTATCCTCAGTGCCGTCCCGCGGCCCCCCGGCCCTGGCATCGGAAGACATCCTGAAGACCAGAGATGCGCTTGTTTTCAGCCCCTTATTATTTGGGGTGTCTTCATCAGGTGCCTTCTAACATCCGCTCTGTCAAGCAGTCCTGCCTGTAACCGCGGGCGTGTGAGTGACGCGGAGAGTTTCAAAGATGCCACCGTGACACTGGCTGCTGCTGGCCTTTCTTCCACACCCGCCCCTGGGCTGAGCCGGCTCCCACAACTCTTCAGTCTTCAGCCTCAGTCGGAGAGGAGAACCGAAAGGGAGGAGGAGGAGGAGGAAGTGAGAGCAGACCAAAGCCGTGTTCCTCCTGTCCCTGCCTCGGTTCTTAGTGGGGTGTGGGATAGATGGACGGGGACAATAGGCAGATCAACCGGGACAGAGGGGGGATGCACCCTTGCATCAATTACTCAGTCAGCGAGAAATCCCACCAAATGAACTCTGGTTGCCGGTCAAAGCTGTTCTCCGATTCCACGGTCAAATTAGCCCTCGCTTGGGACTCCATAATAGGGACTGCAGGTGAGTGGGGAGTCTTTGTTTCAGCTGGGATTATTTGTTTCCTTCTCAAAATGAGGGGTGTTGGACCCTGATGACCCGTTAGCTCCCTTCCAGGCTCTGAAATTCTCAGGTTCTGTAACTGTACGGTTCTGTGACTTTATGAGTCACCCAGGGGGATTTAACTCTTTCCTGGGAGGTCACCGCCCTCCTCTCCCCGCAGGTGAGGTGAATGAGCTCTCAGACACAGATGCTTCAGGAACACGCCCTGAGGAACAGAGACAGGAACGGGAACAGGGCGCCGAGGCTGCTGTGGGTCCTGAGCGAGCAGGTAAATACGCTTCCTCTGGACGCACATTTGCTCTCACTTGGGGACATGGCTCACTCGGGCTCTCTGGAGGGCCAGATCGTGTTTATATGAGGATGATGAGTGCCGTTCTCTGCAAGGAACGATTCTTTTGGCCCAGGCTGCTTGAGAAGTGGACTGCCTCTCTGTCAGCCCTCGATCTCACAGTGTGGTACCTTGGCATCTAGCAGGGCATCACGTGACGGGGCCAAACAACCTACTTGCCCATCCCTGGAGGCTGGCCCACGGTTCCCCTAGGGCCGGGCTGCAGTCACTGTCTGTTTTATCACATGACCTTGGGGGAGGTGTGGAAAGACCAGGTGCAGGTGAAGACAGAGAGAGACTGAGAAATTTTAAAGATTTTATTATAGTCACGGTTCCCTTGAGAGAGCACGGGACACCATGCAGGGTCTCCTGGGTAAGCACCGGGGGCGGTCAGGGAGCAGAAGGAGGGGGCATGTGTGGTTTCCATGGAAGGGAACAGGCGAGGCAGGACAAAGTCATGCTTAGGATCGGCTAGTGTTTGAAACTGGCCTCCCTGGGAAATCTGTGTTCACTGGAGCTGTTAGAGTTTATAGTTTAAAGCTATCTGAGGACTCCAAATGTTTATGGGTATATTAGGGTTCTTCAAAGAAACAGAACCAACAGTGTGTGTGTGTGTGTGTGTGTGTGTGTGTGTGTGTGTGTAAGAGAGACAGAGAGAGAGAGAGAGATTTTAGGTAATTAGCACAATTATGGTGATTATGGAGGCTGGCAAGTCCAAAGTCTGCTGAGTAGGCTGGCCGGCTAGAGACCCAGGGAAGAGTCAATGCTACAGTTCAGGTCCAGAGACAGTCTGCTGGCAAAATTACCTCTTGCATGGGGATGGGTGTGTGTGTGGGGTGGGGGTGGGGGTCAGGTTTTTGTTCAGTTCTGGCCTTCAACTGATTAGATGAGGCCCACCCACATTATAGAGGACATTGGACCAGAGTCCAATGATTTAAATGTTAATTTCATCCAGATACACCCTCACAGACACGTCCAGAATAATGTTTGACTACATGTCTGGGAACCGTGGCTCAGCCAAGTGGACCCTCAGACTCGAACTTTGCATTGGGAGAGTCACAGTTTTGCCTACGGGTCGCTAATAGACCTCCCCCCCCCCCCCCAACCCCAGGTGGCTGTCAAAGCATGCGCTTTCCAGAAATTACAAGTTTGTTTACTAGACGGTCATTGTCTCCATTAAGGGGTAGCTCTCAGGTGGCAGGATCTCCAAGGTCTCCTCGCCTCTCAATGCCTTCGCACAGGCAACTCACAGCTACCCCAGGAAAACGCGTGGCTTGCAAAGCACATTCCCTCCCACTATCTCCTTGCGTCTCAAGACAGCCAGTGAGGGCGGCAGTCCCGCCCTCCTCTCAGGAACCAGAGAATGTGAGTGGAGAGGTAAGACACCTTGACCCACTCAGGTCCCACAGCCTGCAAGTGGAGAAAGCCAGATGTGACACTCATCTTCCGGTTCCAAATGACGGGGGCTGGCTTTTCGGGAGCCATCGTCACGTGCCGGGCATCCCCCTCGATGCTCACACGCGTCCGTTTGCCCGACTTTCTGAACGACCCCGTGGGGGTTGCTTCACCCTTTATGCGCGGGGAAGCTGAGGCCTTCCCACCGTGTCGCACGGCGGGGCAGGGGTGGGGGCTGGGCGTGAGGCCAGGCTGGAGTCCACGATCTTCGCCACCTCCCCCGCATCCAGGGGCAACACCACCCTCTCCGCCCGACACACTGCTGCTGCCTGGTCACACCCCACACCCATCGCTGGAGACCAGGAATAATCGCCCGGTCCGGCCGTGTCACTAAAGGCCATGAGAAGGTTGCATGACGTTTTGGAAACCCCACAAGGTGGAGTGAGGTCCCGAGATGAGGCTGGGGCTCCGGAAAGCAAGTGTCACTTCCCCCAACCTCACAGCTGGGGGTTGGTCCCAGGTGCCCCAGCTTATCGGGAGGGCCCCAGGGCCTTGCTTCCCTCCGAAGCGTTTGTTTGGTCTCACGTCTTTTGCCGTGTCCCCACATGACCTGCTGGGCCCTGACTGCCGTCGCCATGATAGGCCAAATGTGGGAGACACATTCATTCGATAAACCTTTACCAAGTGCCAGGCGCTGCGCCGAGAGCCAAAGTTGAGAGATGACGAAGGGGGCAGATCGGGCAGGCAGACAGCATTAACCGGATGGCAGGGCCACCAGGCCACCTGTCCCGTCAGGCCTCCGGAAAGTACTCCGGACCCACAGGCGGAGGCCTCACCAGCTCTGCCCAAGGGATGCTGGCCGCCCTGCGGGAAGGGGCGGGTTGACCTGGAGCCGAAACGCCAAGTCCACGGATGGAAGAATGAGGGAAGGGCAGCCAGGCCAAGGGATCAGCCTGTGCAAAGGCACAGAGGCGCTGAGAGCATTCGGTTCCACACAGCTGGAGTCTACAGCATGTGAGGCGTGGCCAAGAAGGCCCAAAAGTCTGGCTGGATAGACCGTCAATAGCCTGATGTCCCACTGAGAACAAGCTTGGATTCGTTCGCTGAGAAATACGCTGGCTGATCCCGGCTCAAACCCTCCAGTACCGCTGAATCTTTGTCAGCGGTGTGTGAAAGTCTCCGATAGACTCCGGGCGGTTATTGAGTCTTGGTTTGTGCTCAGCCCTAGGAAGGAGCTTCGGGGCACGCAGAGAGGGTTAGGTATGGGTTCCTGACCTCAGAGAACTTACAATCCAGTTGAGGAGCAAGATTAAGGACGTGAACCATTTCGAAGCCATCCCAGGAAAAATCAGCAGGTGTCAGGCAGTGTGGCCTCTTGAGTAAGCGTGGCGAGAGGTGGCGAAGGACAGGACGGTTTATGACGCGGGGGAAGTCACCGCTTCCTGCTGCTGACCTGGGAACGACCACATCCCCTGACCTCCCCATGAGCCCCTGTCCTTGTCCCCGGATGCTTCACGCACAGCCTCGCCAGCTGTCATTGGCCCGGACGCCACTTTCCCCTTCCCTCCCGTACCTCCCAGCTCACGCCTGTCCGAGCTGAGCACGCTTGTCTTGGACCCTCCTACGTTTGCGGTTTGCCTACAGCCACCCAACTCCTCCGTGGAACGTGGGCCTGGGGGAGAAAGACGTTCTAATGGATTCTTGAATGATGGAGGTGTCCGATATGAGGCTCCACGTCCTAGGCGGCTCTCTCTTTCTGCCAGAACCCATTTCTCATGGGCTCCTCCGAAGGCACTCGTTTGTGGCTGGTGGAGAGCTCCTTGGCGTGCCTGCCTGTGTGTCTCAGGGCTCTGGCTTCAGAGCCAGGCAGTCGTCTCGGTGCGGGCCCGCGGCAAACGCGTCACCTGCACGCGTGGCCCTTCTTCTCCCCTGCGGCGCGAAGCGGGGATGATTGAAACGCGACGTTTTCAACCCCAAAGCAAATTATGGCGAGGAATCAGTGTGAAATTACTCTCTTCTGCCCAGAGTTCCTTTTTCAAAGTCAGGCAGCAGCACCCGGGATGAAAGTTGGCCTGTCAGACAAGCCCATTCAAGCTTGCAATTCCTCTGTCATTTGCCCGACAGGCTTGTGATAAAGAGCAAGGATAAAAAAAAAAAAAAAAAAAAAATCTGCCAAAAATAGTGCCACCGAGAACCCTGCACCAGGGCAGGCTCAGGAGCCAAGGCCGCCCCGGCGCGGGCCTCTCGGATAGGACGGCGGCGGCATGGACTTGTTCTGACAGCGATGTCGTGTGACCTCGGATTTCGGCACCGGAGCCGTGGAGAGGAAGCGGGGCACGAAGCCGCATCTGTGAATCAATCCCTGAAGAAAGGAAAGGGAGAACAAAGTTTACATTGAAGATCTTGACTTTCCAAACAGCGTGTCGAGACAGCCCCGCAGCGGACAGGTTTGCTGCAGGTCTGGGATGCGCCCTGGGCTGCTGCAGGCCCGGAGATTCATCTAGAAAGAATACAAGGAGGCTCGTTCTCCCTGGTGCACAGGGCACTCCCCTTTGCGCTCTTTTGGGGGCCTTCGATTCCACTGGGTCGGGGGGGGGGGGCCTTGGGGACCCGAAAGAGGGCGCGTCCCCTCTGCGGTCGGGAGCGCGATGGGCCCAGGAGAACATGGAGGAAGATCTGTCACCTGCGAAACTGTCAAAGAGGCCACTGCAACCTGGTGGCAAATGCTCTGGATTACAGGGGACGAACAGATCCTGTTCCGGCCCTGTTGCCAGCTCTCAGGGGGAGGTGGGCAGGCTGACTTCCAGGGCTCGACGCCTGCTCCCGAGGCCGAGGCCGAGGCCTCCAGCCGCCCCCACCTGCCAGGTGACGGTGAGGCTTCTCGCCTCCGAAGCTAAGAGGTCACGCCTGTACCCAGATTCAGATTTTGCTGATTTATCTCACCTCCTGGGGCTGCGTGCTTCCTCTGACGGCCCCTCACCTCCCCGAGGTGAGGCATCGCTTGCTCCAGTTTATCGATGGGACCACTGAGTCTCAGAAAGGTTAGCTGCTGTGGCCCAGTTCACACTGCTAGGAAGTGGTTGATCCCAGAGTCAAATCCAGGTCTTGGGGATCGAAGTCCGGTGATTTCCACACAAGGAATTCTCCCAGCCTGCCTCAGAGGCGGCGGCCCATGTGCAAACGGGGAGGGTCACGTGGTCCCTCTGGGTGGTCATTTCACCGTCGTGGGGTTGAGCTTCATGTTGGGGTCTATGCTGAGTGCGGAGCCTGCTTGGGATTCTCTCTCTTTCTCTCTGCCCCTCTCCTGCTCTCTCTCTCTCTCTCTCAAATAAATAAAAATAAAGGCCAAAAGAGCTGTGACGATTCCAATATGGTAGCCATTTTGCAGCCAAGTCCTTACAGGGGCCACAGCTTCAGAACGGTCTACGGTTCGATAGGCCCCACCGTCTGTGATAGTCAATGTCACCGCTGCCACCGCGGTCCTGGTTACCGCCAGATTTTACACGTGCACGGTGCTTCCGATCGCTGGCCACCCAGAGAGTTCACCCGGGCCGGGCTGTGCCCACTCCTGCCGACTGTCTTCTGTGTCACTCACAGCCTCCTGCAGGCAGAGACTTCCCTGGGGAGGTTTCCCCGGGGGACCCTTTTCTTTGGCATCCTTGAACAGCTGTCACCCTGTCCCAGTTGTTTTTCAAGAAAGGAGGTCCCCAGGGTTTCGCCGAGGCACACTCAAACTTGACCCCACCATGTCGATTGATTCACTTCCACCCCCCCTGGGGGAAGGGGTGCCAAGCCCTGGGTGCCCGCGGCCGGATGCTGGCAGCCTTTCAGCCTTTTGCAGCTCATCTATCACCTGTTGTTTCCGACCCGGAATACGAGTTCGGCCATGCGGGGATGGCAGTGGTTCCCGCAAAGGGGACCTTCTCTAGCGGACCCCAGGACCTCTGGGCAGACCGGCTTCGCGCCCCAGGGCGGTCAGCAGAGCGGTGAGAGCAGGGCACGTAGGTAATGCGGTACAGAGGGTGGGTGAGGGAGGCCATCATTCAGCACGCGATTCTGAACTGGGCATCTGCCAAGAGCTTCTCGGTCATTTCCGTTAGCCATGACTTCTAAACATCCTTGGGACGTGGGCAGGAACTGTTGCCTCCGTCTGGGAATAAGGAAATGGAGAGAGAAATGTCTCCAGGGACACATCCACAGGGTGAGAAGAGGTCAGAGCCCTTCGTATTGACCACCGTCTTTCAGCCCTGGCCCTGCGTGCATCCAGCAAGTTCATGGGGGAGGGCAATCCTGGAGCGTGGCTTCCATCCAGGAATCGTCTGAAACATTAACTTGCCACGGGCCAGCTTGAGGTCTGGGTGACTGTCACACAGCACGTAAGGGGCAGGCTCAGAGGGGTAAGGGATCGGCAGTGAATCACAGAGTGACTGGCACCTTCTCAGCACGGAAAAAGGAGGCTCTTACTCCCCAGCCACGCCTAGGGCCAGCTCTGAAGCAAGATATATTTTTAAACACAAGCCTCGCAGAGAAAATGTTCCCTAGCATGTCCCCATAGCCTACTAATGGGGCAACTGTTGGCAACCAATGCCATCAGCCCGTGCTAAGGGCTGTGTTCTCAATTTTTGGTTCTATTCTTGTCCCCTGGCATACGATAGGGCTTGTGTCCCAGGAGACTGCAGGCCACTGACGAAAAAGAAGGTTTCAGTAGGTTCTCGCCTGCTCTCAATTTCAAGGCTCTCTGATTTCGTTCAGACGTCGGGCCTGTGCGCCTGTGCTCATTTACCGAGTTGGAAACTTCTTTTTTTCTTCCTCTTCTACTTCTTCTTCACATAGATGCCATGGAAACTGCCCGATGCTTCCCAGAGGCTGGGGTACCCCCCTGTTTTGCCTCGGGGCGGCGAAGGGCTGAAGTCTGAGAAGGTCGGCTGCCCCTCCGATGCCTGGGCAGGTAGCCACTGTGGTCCTCCCTTGTTTGCCAGCGGCTCTGAGTACTGAGAGAACCACCGCAGGTGACTGGCTTCCCTCCTTTGCAAATGCAAAGAATCATTCCAGGGTCAGTTTTGTTTCTTCTCGCTCTGATCAGGGTCTGTTGCTCAGCCGGAGAAAAGAAAGACACCTTCCGGTCCTCATTAGAGTGGCCCTGGTCTAGTTTATTCAGGGTATCCTGCTAAACCCTGCTGGTGTGTCCCTGTGTGTTATTAGTGTTGCTCTAGTCGGGTCGTTGTTTTAAGGAAGCTCGTTTCTGAGCGGGGTGGGAGGAGACGCCCTTTGTCTGCCTCTCGGCCCTGTGGTCCTGGCCCTCGCCAAGGGAACCGATCTCGCGCTGCTGTGTTTATTTGAGTTATGTAATATAAACAGCTCCAAGGAGATGAGCTCCTCAACGTTTGTGTTTAGACTCAGGCTTCACTTGTCCTCTGCAGAGCTCATCACTTGGGTGGTTTCCTCTCGCCTGCTCTGTTTTGCTGCCGGAGAACAAAACAGCCTGCCCTTGACCCTTCCCCAGGACCGGCCCTTTCCTCCCCTGACCCAGCAATGAGAGCAAGGCGCTGCTGATGCGTGTCCTCAAAGGCTCTTCACAGACCGAGGGCAGGGGCGGGGGGGGACGTCCAAGCAGAGCGGAGACCATCGGTGTAGGTACTGACTTTCTCTGTGGCTTCTTCACGGATACGGGGTTCCCCAGTGCCAGGAGTATCCCTAGAATATTTAAAACCTAATTCCACTTAGCATATGGATTCACACTCAAGTTTTCAGCAACACCCCCGATGTGTAAAACGTGTGAGGACAGCCAGGAGGAAAGTTCAAAAGGTATTGTAGACGCCCGTTCCACGTTATTTTACGGTACACATCCACTTAAATATTTTCAAAGCATTTCATTGCTCATTAGACCAAGTTCATGGCGTATCCCCCCGATGACTCCACACTAAGGAAAACATCTTCTCGTTGAGTTTGTGCATCTTCTCGTTGAGTTTGGCTTGGCACCGAGGTCCTCAAGGCCCAGTTGGATTGTGATACGTTTTTAGGAACGGTTTTCTCGAAACAGCTCTCCAAGGGTCGAGTCACTTAGTTCTTTATTTATACAGTTGTCTTAATGCAGATCACAGATATTTTCGGAATCATTACTGGCTCTCCAATTTCTTATGGCAAGATGCCATCTCTGTCTCTAACCACCCCTGCTGCTCATGCTTGCCATTTACCGGGGTCACCAACCTCCTCGGGGTGCGAAGCATGTTTGCTCTTGTCGTGTCTTCAGACCTGTGAGTTTGGGGAGGCAGGACTAGCAAAACAGAAGGCCTAGAGGTTTGAGCAACAGGGGATGTGGCAGCCACACTTTTCTTCCCACGGTGTTCCCAGAAAATTATGAGAGGAAGGAGGGAAGGAAGGAAGGAAGGAAGGAAGGAAGGAAGGAAGGAAGGAAGGAGAGAGGGAAGGAGAAAGAAGGAATTTATAGCAATGAGAGGAGGGGAAAATGGAATTGGAGCTTTTTGTGTTCAATACTCGGAGGTCTACCAGCTGAAGCCCAGCCAGGACCTCTGACAAAGCCACGCAGCATCCCCGTGTGCCTTCAAGCCCTTCAGGACTTCCGTGCATTGTTCCGGCAGCCGCTGCAGCAGCTTCCAACTCTTGCATCCCCTCTAATTTGTGAAGTCCCCGCTCTTACCCTCCCGTCTCCCTCTACATTCCTCTCCTTCAAGGTCAAATCCCGGCGCACCTCAACTTTGCCGTGTTTTCCGGGGCGGTGGCGAGAGCCCCTCCCCGGGGAAAGGGGGGGGGGTGTGCCGGGGACGGCGTTGCGGGCGGCGGGGCTGGAAGAAATCTGCTGGGGCCTTGACTTTCTCACACATGTTTCAGATGTGCAGGGTGTGATTGTAAACAGCGTCTTCTGCGCTGCCAAAGCTGGCCTCCCCGCCCGAGCCCTGTTCCCAACACCCCAGGGGTTCCAGTAATAGGGCGTAAAGCAAACAAAGAAAAACAGTAATCTGGTGTTCCAATTGCATTTTTTGTTTTTAGAAAATGGTAATGATAGGTTATTTGATTACCCTGGGTTTGGCTCTGCTCGCTCTGTATTAAGCACATCTGGTATTTGGTAACAATATAAGTAGCTGGAGATTTTTGGCTCTTGAAAATAAGCTTATCCAACGTTGCCATGCAGTTTGGAAACCCGTCAGAGAGGCCGGCCAAACTTGTGGAGATACAAGACTTTTTCTGTAGGCTGGGCAGCTGGCCAGGACGGCTAAAAAATGTGAATTGGCTAAGCACGGCTGCCACGCAAACACTTCTGGAAATTTCTGTGCTCGGGCCTGCCAAATGCATTATGCACAACATGAATTACAAGAGTTTCTAGCTCTCCCAGCAGTTGTGTTTTGAATTTAATTCTCCTGCGCGCTTTATGAAACATACACACACAACCAAAATGAGAAAAACACCGCAAAAATCCACTACCAGCTTTTTTGGTTGTTTTTTTTTTTTTTTTTTTTTTTTGTCTCTTTCCATTTGCATTGCCAAGCGTGCAACTTTTCCTGAATTAGGAGAAATGGCCTCAAACTTTGGTTTCAATTACATTAACTCTAACACGTGGGAGGGAAATGTGCTTCCTGGAAATTCTAGAAAGGAAGGATGTCTCGCATCATGGAGACAGCCTAATTTCTAAGTAGGAAAAACAATAAAGCGCAACCAAAGGGCTCAGAAGGAGAAAAACACATACAGCCTGCAGTGCTCACGGCCGGTGATTGGGACTGGGGCCTTGCCGAAGGGCCGTAGTCCGAACGGAGCTGTCAGCAGAATGTGTCTCTCCTGTGCCCGAGACGGCATCCTTGCACAAAGGTCCCTGGTTCGGCCCTGCCGGCTGGCCGAACTATCAAGCTCACGAGGAAATTTCGAGGTGGAGGACGGGCCCCGGAGGACACGCCACAGCCGGTCAAAGGGAAAGCGGGCAGGAGAGAAGCAGCCAAGCCTTCCAGACGGATCCTGGTTCTGCCCAGGCTTCCCTCGCCTTGCAGGGCTGAGAAACGTTTGCATCATCTATTTTGTGATTCCAAATTGAGACTTGCCTCTTTCTGGTGATTCAGATGAGCTGGATTGCTCAGACTCTCTGCCCAGGATTGTAAAAGGGCCTGGAGCTCTCTACTTCTATTCTGGAAATGACATTATTCATAGGATGCATATAATTCATTGCAAAATAATCACACCAGCACATGGAGAAGACAGGACGTCGTACGGCAAAATCCTTCCGATTCCTACCAAGTGTGATGCTTTCTTGATATACGGCCTTTCTCGCGAGAACTTAGATAATCGTGTCAACATTAGTAAGCTGAAACTCTGAAGAGTTCTAACTGAGGGCTAATGCTCCCAACTGCGTCATCTGTCAAGCCACTACGCTAGTCTGTGCCTCCGTTTCCCTCTCTGTGTTTGCTTGGCCCTACCGTTCTCCCAGAGTGTGGGAAAGGTCTTGAGTTCGAGCATCAGGTCCTGGCTGGGACCCTTGTAACTCTGTGACCTCCTCCCGGTGGCAAGTCTCAGCATAGTGTCCTCACTTGTAAAACGGGGACAGTGGCATCCTTCCGCCCCGGCACGGTCACGAGGAACCCAACGTAGTAATGACAGTGCACCTGTTTTGCGAACTGTAAAGCGGCATACAAACGTGGGTTGTTATTGGTACCTTTCAAGTCCTAAGTATAGAACTTTGATCACTTAGATTCCTGTGAATGTGATAGAGAGCGTGTGAGGCAAAGCGGTCCATGCACGTGCGTAATGTGATCTGGGAATTTATTGGGACTGGGTGGCAAGGAGGGGAGACCGTTGCTTTCTGCATAGGATGTAGGTTGACCTCTGTCAGTATGACTCTTTTTTTTTTTTTTTTTTAATATTTTTTTTTTTTCAACGTTTATTTATTTTTGGGACAGAGAGAGACAGAGCATGAACGGGGGAGGGGCAGAGAGAGAGGGAGACACAGAATCTGAAACAGGCTCCAGGCTCTGAGCCATCAGCCCAGAGCCCGACGCGGGGCTCGAACTCACGGACCGCGAGATCGTGACCTGGCTGAAGTCAGAAGCTTAACCGACTGCGCCACCCAGGCGCCCCATGACTCTTAATTAAAGTATGTCACCTGCCTCCCCCTCCCTCTTTCTCTCCGTGCCCCCGCCCCCTCTCCCCCCCCCCCCCAGCTTCCTCCCTTCCTCTGTCTATTCCTTTTTTCACAAATCCATTGGCAGCAATCACGGTTAATGTGCCATTTGACTGTGTCGACCTTGGATGGAAGGTGAGCTTGCCCGAGCTAATTAAATTTCCTTTCCCGTAGTGAACTGTATCCCAGAACTATCGTTCACACTAAGCAGTGAAACAGGTTTGGGCATGTGAAAAAACAAAACAAAAAAAAAAAATAAAAAGCTGGGGCCCCAAGAAAGTACTCTTGGCCTCATTTCCATTTGGCCCACATTGTCCTGTTCTTGGCTTAAATTTGGATCCCAGGACACATTTTCTCAGTTTCCTTTTCTCATGTTCCTGGATCTTTGTTGTAGAATTGTAGGAAACACAGAGTCAGGGGAGTCAGCCAAAAAGGATTTCTCCCCTTCCCGGGAAGGTCTCGGGTCCTGTCTCAGACACTACAGTGTGGGCAGCCCCCTCTCCACACGATTATTGTTTTCTTCGCCGTGGCCAGAAGTGGGGAGCTTTGAATTCACCTTGGTCAAAGGGGCTTTTTCTGTTCTCAGTTTTAAGGAGCCCCCCCGCCCCCGACTCCCCGCGAAGCACAGCGCCCACCAGTGAGCCAGCCTGGTCCTGCTTTGACCTCCGGGATCCGGGGCTTCTGAGGACAGATCTAGAGCTCGTGAACTGGGGTAAGTGTGGCTCAGCGGAAGCATGAACAAAAAGGAGACAGAAGGCCACTGTTGGGCACAGCAGAGGGAGAGAATGGGGCCCGGGGGCGGGGTGACAGGGGCGGAGGAGGGCATGACTGGAAAGAAGGCCGGGCCGCCGCCACTACCATCCCAGGCGAGGACGGTGACAATAGGCCAACAGCTCACACACAGCACAAGGGCTGCCTCTGCCGGCCCAGCACTCCCTGTTGAAACCAGCTGGCACTGGTGTTAGTGGGGTCAAGGGACCAACGTGGAATTTTCTGGAATAAGAGGCAGATTGGGAAGCATTCCCCAGACGCTGCAATATCCAACCCGCCCCTCCTGCCATTTACCTTTCAGGCTGACCGCTGTGAATAATAATCATGAATATTGACTGTGCGCCCTCCCTCCCCTGGCTCGCCACTGTGAATTATTTTAGTCTCACGGTCGCGCGGCACAGTTTTGCTATGATGTAGGCACTGTCGTTATCTCTGGTTTTCAATGGGAAGAACCAAAGCTTGGGTGGTGGGTTGAGTGACCTGACCAAGTTTACACAGCTCGTAGCAAATGCCTGGGCTTCTCTTTGGCGTCCCGTTTATGGTTACCACACGGCCACCGCCCGAGGCTTTGGACAACCGACCTCTCACCCCCATCCTGTGTCGTTAATATTCTTTTTGTATTTGATGGCAAAATGGGCTTCCCGTGGGAGGGGTTGCGCGTAGAAGTGCATATTCTCCGTTCCTTCTACCAGTGAGCTCCGTTGGTGCTACCTGGTTTCCTCGGTTTTGTCTTCTCAGTGGTTGCACCAACTCTGGGCAGGTGGACACATCTCCACCCGGCCAGGTTACTGTCACAGCCCTCGCTGCATTCTGCTCACCAGCCCTCATGATAGCAAGAAAACCCCACGCTTTTACGAAAAAAGCTCGTATTTGAAAGGATCGCTAAGCTTTCTAGTCCACCCCACTGATGACCGTGTCATAGCCAGACCATTTCATCTGACATTTTTAAAGTGAAGATGATGGGTGCCTGGGTGGCTCGGTCGGTTAGGTGTCCAACTCCCGAGTTCGGCTCAAGCCATGATCTCGCGGTTCGTGAGTTTGAGCCCCACGTCAGGCTCTGTGCTGACAGCGCAGAGCCTGCTTGGGATTCTCTGTCTCCTCCTTCTCGGCCCCTCCCTGACTTGTGCCCTCTCCCTCCCTCAAAAAATAAACTTAAAAAAAAAAAAAGTGAAGATGATTTTCCACTTTTGTATATTCAATATTTGCCGAGTACCTACTAGGTGCTTACTGAGTTCCTGCTAGCACAGGTACTGTTTGGGGCACTGTCTCCAAGAGTCTGCATGCTTAGGATGGGTGTACTCTCGAAATCCTAGTGTTCCGGGGAAAGCATTTCTTGTGATTTTCCCACAGAACCCACTCTTCCTCTCCAAGATGACCCCTCTAAGCCGTGAGAGAAATTAAAAATGCCTTCATGGAATAATTATCCCGTGATTCTCAATGTGATTGCTAACGTTACCACTAGGACCTTTCCGCAAGTCGCCGGTTGAGCACCTGTGTGTATGAGACCCGGAGAGAATGAGGGAGAAAATACTGCCGTCGCTATTGTTCCTAAATGACAAGACTGGTTTTATCACCATGGTATAATTATTAGTGTTACGTATCACCTTTACCTCTTATTTATGTAATAGTTCAGAAGCTAAAAAAAAAAATTCTTTATTTCGTGGCAAATCTTGGATTCGACGGGCATTTGTTAAATTGGGTCGAGCGCTAGCTTCTCAGATCCTAAGTGTATTTGTTTTTACTGCCGCGTAAAGTTACCATGAGCTCAGCAGCTCGAAGTGACACACGTTTATTATGTCTCGTCTTCTACCGGTTAGCTGGGTCCTCTGCACAGGGTCTCACAAGACCGTAGTCAGTGTGTCCACTGGAGCTGGGGTCTCCTCTGGGCGCAGGGTCCTTTCTCTCCCAAGTTCATAGGGCAGAATTCATTTCCTCCCAAGCGTCTCCCGGTAGGTTTGCTTCTTCCAGGCCAGCAAGTGCGAGAGAGGATCTGATGCTTTGTCTCTGCCCCTCTAGATTTTCTTTTAAAGGGCTCATCTGATTAGGTCAGACCCACCCAAGATAATCTCTCCTGTGAGTCACCCAAAGACACCTGATTAGAGACCTTAATTACATCTGCAAAATCCCTTCGCCTTCGCCACTCCCATCATGAAACACAGGGATGAGTGATACCCTTCCACCTTTGCTGCATTCTATGGTTAGAATGCAAATCAAGGCCCTGTTAGCACTCAAGGGGAGAAGGTTATATATTACCAGGGTGAGGGACCCTGGGGATCATTTTAGAATCTGTGGATAGCAAGGTTTTCTGCATGATTTTCATTGATGCATACTTAGTGGAGCAATAGGCATACAATGTAAAAATAATTGACGGGTCCTGAGAATGTAGCGATTGGAAATAAATGCGTGTTTTTGAAGGCGCACTCCAGAGCACACTCTGAAAAAGGTCACTTTTTCCCCCCAGCAGGTCTTAACAGGGGAGGGTGGAGGGAAGCGTGGGTAGGTGACGGTTCAGAAAGTACACGAGCTAAAAGAAACATGAGCCGGAAAAATCTAGGTTCCCGTTCTAGTTGCTCCTCAGAAAGCTGTGTGAGCTTCCCTTATCTGGGGAGCAGGGTGGGAGGGAAGTACTAGCTGCCTTCCCTTGCAGGTCTGCTGAACAGGCAAAAAGAGACCAACAAACCTTTGTGGGGACAAAGGTCTTAACTGCCCTGACACGGACTGTCGGGAAGCTGGTGGATCACACAGTGCTTCTGTCTCAAAAGGCGGGTGCGTGACCACATCACCAGGAGCCGTTTTTGTTTTTGTTTTACTTTTTTAAAGTTATTTATTTATTTTGAGAAAGAGAGAGAGAGGGAGAGAGAGCGCGCATCAGCAGGGCCCGGGGGTGGGGGGGGCAGAGACAGGGAGACAGCGAGAGCATCCCAAGCACACAGCCCAACACGGGGCTCCGACTCACAAACTGAGATCACGACCGGGGCCGAAATCAAAAGTTGGATGCTTGACCGACTGAGCCACCCACCCAGGCGCCCCTGTTTTCGTTTTTGGTTTTGGCGATAACCAGTGAGGCGTTCTTGAAAGGCACCCACGTCTCTCCCATAAACTGGGGAATGCGTTCTCTGTGCACACGTTAGGGGAGGGAAGAGCCCCTTACACACTTCCTCCAAAGTTGTACCTTGAACTTGAGGTCCAGAACCTCTGATGCAGCCTCTACAGCTGGCTTGCACGGTCCCCTGCATGTCTCTACAAGGCACACAAAGGAAGTGAGATAGGGAGGAGTGTGGGGCCATTCTCGGTCACGTGAGAATTGCTTCTCAGTTAGCCAGATCCGTGCAGCTGCACAAAACAAACACACATACAGTCCAGGCTGGGGAGACCGCCTGCAGAGCGAGCTTCCCTCCTGCAAGGAAACAGTCGTCTGATAATGTGTTAAGATCAGATTAATGTAGGAAGTAAACATGTAATAAATAATGAGAGTGTAATAATGGTGTCTGTTGAAAATATGAGACCCGGAGTATGGATTTCTTAGGCTAATTTTGCCCTTATTTAAAAGAAACTGACAGACGTGCTTTATAAAATGGAAGGTAATTTAACAAGGAGAGAACGGAAGAACACCAACTCATTTTCCTTGTTTAACCGTTGCCTTATCCTTCTGGCTTAGAAAGGACAAGTGAGTTTTTGCTTTCTTTTCTTTCTTTCTTTCTTTTAAAAAAAAAATTTTTTTTTTAACGTTTATTTATTTTTGAGACAGAGAGAGACAGAGCATGAACTGGGGAGGATCAGAGAAAGAGGGAGACACAGAATCTGAAACAGGCTCCAGGCTCTGAGCTGTCAGCACAGAGCCCGACGTGGGGCTCGGTCTCACGAACAACGAGATCATGACCTGAGCTGAAATCAAGAGTCAGACATTTTACCAATTGAGCACTCCGAGTTTTTGTTTTCTTAGAGAACTGATATTTAAATTTCACCCTCCACGTCTCCCACCCTGTCCTCAGTTCCCCCCTGCCATCCATTACAGATACGAGGCCATGCCTGGGTTCAGAATTCTCCGGGAAGCCACAGGACTTCACTCTCGATGCAGGAAAGAAAACAGGCGTTTTTAATGATCTGGAAGCCAGGTCAGTTTCTGATTTGCACACCTCAGAGCTTTCAGTTAATGGAAAGGCCCCAACAGTGTTATCGCAGCGCGTTGTTGCTGACTCATCAGAAAGACCAGTCCTGTGATGAAGGAACCTGGGTCGTTATTTCTGTCGTATTCCTGTATCAACTGAAACATGCATTCTAGCACATGAAGCCATCTGAGTAAGCCACCTAGCTTTTGAGTCACACACCTAAGATATTTTCGTATCTGAGATGCGTAAAGCACAACTACACGTGACTCAGAGACATAGGCAAACAGTGGCCCCGGAAGAAACGGGAAGGGAAACGTCTTATAATAACCGCCTGGTCTGGACTATGGACTTTGTTGGGAGTTTCAAATGAGGGCATCTTGTTGGTTTTGAAAGCCATGTGGACAAACTGATACCGTATTTTTAGCATGCCTTGAATGGAAAACATGCAAGATATGTGAACAATATATTTCCAAATATGACACATATTTATAAAACACAGCAAACGCATGACAGATTGAGTAGGATATGTGTAAAAAAATAACAGCTGCGGCACACCCTATTTCTTAGCAAATTCACACACAACAAATGACATTCATGTCCCATGGTTTGCAAAATCTATTTTTTAAGCATTTTAGGAAAGGAGGTAGGGAATGAAAATAAAAGTTTGCAAAAGAAAAAAAACCAGAAGGTGGATGTAAATTTACGTGACATGTCATGTAATTCTCATGCATAAAACTAGTTCTGGATAGGTTACCCCCTATCCCCCAGCATGCCGCCCTTTGATGGAACTGATATTAAATGAGGCATTCGAAGTGATTTGCATTTTCAGGTGGGCTCAAATGTCATGTATAAGGGAAGGCATTTGGAAAATTTCAGTATAAAACAACCAAGAAGTGTGCCAAAGGTGTTAAGATTTACTTGGATGGAGGAGACTTGGTGCCGAGCATAGTTTGGGTTCTGAACTGAGACAAATCTGACCAGAGACACTTGGATTTGGATGAAAGGCCATAGGGATCCATGGTCTGTTCTAAAGCAGGGACTTAACACGAGAAGCAGTGTTTTTAGGGGGATAGTGTCAGCGCCTGTGAGCACAAAGCAACCTCTGAGGCCAGTGGTGTGAATTCCTTATATGTGTAATATAGGCATTTAGGATTTGCGAAGGAGTTTTCTCATTTTCAAATGCATAATCTTATCTGAGCTATGGAACCCCCTTGTGAGGCTTGCATTCATCGCGCACACTATCCTAACAAAGAAATCAAGAGTTGTGACTTTGGGGTCACACTCAGAGGAGGCACCAATCCTAACAACCAGGATGTTTGTTCCTTTAGGATGATCTCTGGGAGACATGGGGTTATGGGTATTTTTTTTTTCTCTCTTCTTCTTGTTACTTCTGTGTTTGTCCAAATTTTCTGCAATGAGAAAATATGATTTTATAACTCTAAAGTGACATGAAATATTATTGCTGTAAACAAGGGACAGAATCCCCCGTTCTCATTCCTTCTAGACCATTCCCTTTGCTCCACCCCCTACTGGAAGCTGCGACTGACTTTCCTGTGCTATGCATTGCTGGCCTCTGCCCCCAGCTGGAGCTCTCCCAGAACTCAGGGCTCTGTTCGTAGGCTGAGCTGGTGTAAGTCAACTTAGAACAGGTCAGCCTGGGAGTCTAGAGAACTAAATTTGCGTCCTATTTTCTACAATGCTGGGAAGTTCCTTCATATCTGTATGCCTTAGTTTCCTGCTCTGTATCCTTTTTGCCAGATATGGAGTGTTTCAAGATTCCCAAGCAAACATTGCCTTATCAAAGAAAGGTGATGCTAAGATTACATTCTTGTGGGAGACTGCTAACGTGTTGAAATACCGCACTTGTGTTTTCTGCTTGGCCTTGGCCTTACCGAAAGGAGACTTTGGGTAACAGAAGTAGGGGGAGGGAAAGGAAGGTGGGCATGAGAGACGGTGGAGAGGGAGGTGTACCATTTGAACCGAGGCTGGAGTCATCAGCGGGCGTTCTGAGCTCCTCTGGCCCTTCCTGGGCGGGCGTGGCTCTAATGGGACCTCCCTCACTAACGGACACGCCACAGAAACTCATTCAAGGAGGCCATCTGATCTAGCGTCAGAGATAATAACAGACCAGACTGCTTCCTTGACCTTGGGCAAGCAACTTAGCCTCTCAATTTCCCACTTTCTCTACCTGTAAATAAATGATCTCACTGGGAGGTGAAGGATAATCGAGATCGAATTTCCAAAGGATTTTTAACTCCTTCGAATGCATCAGTTTTAAACTTTGGGGAAGGGAGGGTTCTTGGAACCCTCTGAGAATCTAATGAAAGCCAGGAGGCTTTCTCCCAAAACGACATGTACCTGGCCATTAACTTTCATATAAATTCGTACAGTTTATAGATTCCCTGAAGCTTAAACTTCCTCTAATTTAGGGGAAAAAACCCACACCTGCCTTAAAAGCAAAGTGCTATAGACATGTAAAAGATAAATAGTGTGTCATTTTCGTGTCACTGCCATCCTGTGGATTTCATTCATGAAGCTCATGTGTTGTTATCACGACTATCCTCCTTTCATTATTGTTAAAAATACTCTGGGGCCCCTGGGTAGCTCCGTTGGTTAAACGTCCAACTTCAGCTCAGGTCATGACTCATGGTTTGTGAGATCAAGCCCTGCATCAGGCTCTATGCTGGCAGCGTGGAGCCTGCTTGGGATTCTCCATCTCCCTCTCTCTCTCTCTGCCTGTCTCTCACACTCTTTCCAAATAAATAAATAAACTTAAAAAAATACTATACTTTCTCTATTGGTTTTCATCCTTCCCCGACACCCACCACCGGATTGTTATTATTATTATTATTATTATTATTATTATTATTATTATTATTTACATTAAGCACCTTGGAACCAAGGATGCTTTGCTACTGGTCTTCTGTGTAAGACGACATAGGTCTCTTCCATCTAAGTATAATCTAGTAAATAGATAAGAATATGTATAATTAAAGTGAGCTGCTAAAATGAGTTCTTTTTTTTTTTTTTTTATCACTCTTGGACAGTTAAAATTGCAATGCTTGAGAGAAAATGAAAAGTGGCCCCTCGTCATGTTATAGAGGGCACTTGACACAGGCATTCAATCTGAGATTGATTAAAATTTGCATACTTCTTGGGGCGCCTGGGTGGCGCAGTCGGTTGAGCGTCCGACTTCAGCCAGGTCACGATCTCGCGGTCCGGGAGTTCGAGCCCCGCGTCAGGCTCTGGCCTGATGGCTCGGAGCCTGGAGCCTGTTTCCGATTCTGTGTCTCCCTCTCTCTCTCTGCCCCTCCCCCGTTCATGCTCTGTCTCTCTCTGTCCCAAAAATAAATAAACGTTGAAAAAAAAAATTAAAAAAAAATTTGCATACTTCTTATTATTTATTCTAAAATAATTGAAAAGCAGTGGTCTTGAAGAGAGAATTTTTTTTGAAGAACAATATTTGATGCAGTCGTTCCAAAGGAACCAGCCCATTTATTCGATAATGAAAAAAGGCATTATTTTCACATCGCCACCTAATGTCTTCTGTTTTCTCCCGTCATTATTTAGCTCGGCTGGAAATGAGGCATCTTCTTCAGTGACGCTTAAAAAAAAACAAAACGAAACAAAACAAAACAAAACAAAAACTTGTGTTGTGAAATAGCACTATCCTTTGTGGACAACTGGACTTCAGAAAAAGACACTTGGCATGGGTCAACATGCTTCTTGGGTTTATACTGGACCCTCCTTTCTTTTCCTTTATCGTTTTTGGCACAATGGATAGGTTTTTAGCATGCCGGAATGGGTAGTTCTTGCTCTCTGAGATGTATGTGTGTATATATATATATATATATATTTTTTTTTTTTCCTTTTTACTATCTTCTATAAAAGGAGCTCGCTATTGATTGCAGCTGACTGAGTCGCTTGAGTTGATATCTAAGCAACGCTAACCCAGATAGGGATTAGCATTACATCAGCTGTCAGGCGAGGAAGCCTGGCACAGTGCCAGCCTGTAAAAAACGGAACGCGTTTGCGTCACTGTTCCCTTGGTGATGCTTCTTGGAGCCTTGTCAGCTGTCCCCTGAGGTTGTTTCCTTAATATGTCAACAGACATTCCTGAATCTTTAATGCTGGATAGCTCTTTTCCAAAAACACTGAGGTGACCAAGCAGCTGGTGCTATGATCTTTCGGAATGTATCTCTTTTCATGAAATACGCGTTTGCTCTGTGTTTGCTCTCTTCGGAACAGTCGAGGGGATTTAAGAAGGTTTGGATGTCTGCTTCTCCCATGTTAGAGGACCTATTTTTGAAGAAACAGGACAGCCAGCTTTAGTGCTGGGAGCTGCTTCTCTGCTTTTATCTTCCTTCGGAAAACCCCGTATTCCCTCACCAGCTTATCCCAACCCTCCAATTATCCTGTTACACTGTGACATCTCATAGAACAAAACAGCTGGTTGAAAAGACCCGGCTGGAATTTGCCCCCATTTATGATTTGCTCTCTGACCTTGCTCTAAGAACATCCGCGAGACAGAAAAAGGTGTGGGCAGTGACCTTGAGCGTCCCCTGCTTACCGAGAACCACACATAAGAAAGGTTTGTCACCCGTTGCCCACGTGAAATCCATTTCCTCATTTTCCCGACGTCTTTTTTTTTTTTTTTTTTTTTTTTTTTGCCATCCTGGCAATTCGATCTCTACTTCCATCTTGGAAAATTTTACACTGAAAAGTAAGTGGGTAAAGCCTCGCGCTAACATACCTTCTTTCTCTTTCTCTCTCTCTCTCCCTCTCTCTCTGTCTCTCTGCAAGTAAACGTAGCCCATTGAAACTGGGTTATTTCTCCCTGCTCAGTAACCCTCCAGATCATTATGCCGTGGCTATACCAGCTAATTACAGTCAATAGTTTGAGCAACTTAAATTTGGAAAGAAGTCATTCGGGTTTTGGAGGGGTAGTGTGGCGGTGTTATTAAATTCATTTAATCATAAGTGACCATGATGGAGTACGTAACTGGGGGGAAAGCCACTTTCACGGTGTGTGAGCCTCAGACTCCGCTGTCAGAGGAGCGCCTGTCGTCGAGCGGGCACACATCTTGTCCTTTGGAGACACACTAAGGGCCCCGAGAATTCTGTGGCCGTGGAAGCTGTCTCTGGGCTAGGTCTCCTGGGACGGCCGCTTCCTCATTCTGCCAGTTGATGTAGCAATCGGGTTTCTGTTCCGCAAGTCCTGTGCCCCCGGCGCCCGGCCTCCCGGGAGCCCTTTGATCACCCCCCCCTGCAGAAGGTCCCCATTGGCTCCCCGGGGGACAATGGGAACAGAGCTGCCCAGGAGAGGAGGGAGTTAGGACCCTTGGGTTTTAGAATTGAAGGGAATTTTTGGAGTTCGTGAAACCCAAGCCCGACATTCATTTTAAGAATGAAAAATCTGAAGTTTGCTGGTGTGGGCTAGCTGGTATCATATCTGGGAGGAGGACCCATCTCTCTGCACTGGCCTTTGTTTTTCTTAGTTTATACTTAAAAAAATATTTATTTATATTGAGAGAGAGAGAGAGAGAGAGAGCATGAGCAGGGGAGGAGCAGAGAGAGAGGGGGAGAGAGAGAATCCCAAGCAGGCTCCATGCTGTCAGCAAGGAGCCAGATGGGAGGCTCGAACCCACAAACCTCAAGATCATGACCTGAGCTAACGTTAAGAGTCAGATGCTTAACCGACTGAGCCACCCAGCCGCCCCTGCCCTGCTTCGTACAGCAGCAGCTCTTGTCCGGGGGCAGAGCTGGGCTGGGGCAGCACAGGGCACTCTTCTCCCCGGTTCAGGGTCCTGTCCGGTGGAGTCAGTGGCTCGAGGACCACTGAGGCCACATGCAGCGTGGAACTGAGCACTACGGATGGGGCTCCACTCCAGCAGGCTGTCACCCAAGCACACCTCTGTTTTCCCTCACTTAGCCGGGGGCCCACAGGAGAGCTTCGCTGTGCTGTGTGCACCCCACTTACAGCCGCGAGGGAATGCCATCCCCGACTGCGCACACCCCCTGGAGGGACCGACGAGGCAGCAAGAGTTAGCCCAGCCGTTGCTTTGGGGCCAGAGGCACAGAGTCTGGATGGTGCCGAGGACAGCATGTAACAAGACTCCTTGTCTCTTCCCCTTGGGAGCCAGGAAGGGGAAAAAAAAAAAAAAATCACAGACACTCGTAAGAAAGTGGAAAGAGGACTTTTAGCCCTCATATAGGGCTTCCACATCCGGAATAAGATTTCCTCGCCCTTATTTCTTCCCTTGTTGCCCCAAACTCCACGCATCCCCCATGGGCTGGGCTGGCGCACGGCTGGCTCAGCTCGGTGGCTGTGATTCGGAGGGAGGGCTTGGGGGTCCGACCTCCTGCGTTCCAGTCCCCGCTCTGCCACTTAATAGCTGTGCAATCTCGGGCCAGATTTTCTCCTCTCAATGTCCTCATCTGGGAAATGGAGAGAACGCTATTGAGTTTGATGAATATACCAGAAGGATTAAGTGAGGTGGGGCCCCGTAGCGTGCTTGGCAAAGCGCCCGGCCCAGAAGGGGTCAGTACGCCTCAGTCGCCGCTATTAACACCGCGCGGAGAACGCTTGGAGAGAATTCTCAAGGCGACCGATAGACACACATCTTCTCCGGTTTGGGGTGGGGGTGCGTTGGGAACCAGTGTACCGGCCTGGCGAGCAGGAGGTGAGCCGGAGATGAGGAGACGGGTTGGTGGGAACAACACAAATGACCTAGACCTTGACCGAGCTGCATATCAATATATATCCCGCCTAAAGGGTTGGAGCCGGCTTGCACTTGCCTGTGGTGGGGGGCACCTGGTTCTACCATGCAGTCTGACCACTGGACACGACTGGGGGGAAAAGAGAGAAAAGAAACGCCAAAGTAATAATGGTTAGCATCGTAATGGCACAGTCACGGTCTCGGGAGGACCTTCATCTCTGTAGACAACGGAGGGTTTTACACTACCCTCTTTTTGCAGATGAAAGAAACACTTTCTTAGACTCTAGGGACTTGCCTCAGATTGAAGAGTGAATAACTGTTGGCGGTCAGGCCTGGACTCCCTTCTTTCTCAGAATGTTCCTCCCGGCCACACACACTCAGATGCACGCGCAGGTGCGTGCACACTCCTGCCCGCATACACATGCACACACGTGTGCACACACATGGAGGCACACGCGCGCACACGCAGATGGGCACGATATAGGCCAGGGAGACCCGGCGTCTGCAATGTGCTTTGCTCGCTCCAGTTGCCGGGGGTCCTGTAGCGCTTGGAGAGGTGGCTGCAGAGACCGGGGTCTGGCCCGCTGCACCGAGGCTCAGATAAACCCGGGAACCAGGAACCAGGAACCTGTAACCCCCTTCCTTCCCCCGAAGGCACCAGGGCGGACCGACTGGGCACGGGGAAAAAAGGCAACGTCCCCTTTCGTGTTTCCCCGACGTGCCTTTTGCCATCATGACAACTGCGAGTTGCTCTGGGAATCAGTCCTTCTCCCTCAAGCTCTGGAATGAGTCATTTGGCAAAGAGCTGCGTGCGGAAATTACAAAGCTTCCGTGTCACCTATGGAAACCGCGGTGGGGCTTTTGTTTGTTTTGGGTTTATTTCTGCCGCTGTCCTCACTTCCGCTGTGTGAGAGGCCAGTGGGGAACCACACGCTTCACACGTGCT